TTTTGAGAATTGAGATAAGGATTAGTATAGACTATAATTCTGAACTAACACATCTTTTATTCTGTCAAAACTGTATTAACTCCAAAGATAGATGGGACAGAAATCCCCACATTTAACTTTCTTTGTAATCCTTTGTTTCTTGACAACTATCACAAAATTAAACTTAGACCATGGTTGCTCAACCTTTTGAGCTGGCTAATTCTTTGGGCGAGGGTGGGGGGTTGGAAGGCTGCTCTCTGCATTGTATTATCTTCAGCAACATCCCTCTCGTCTCCCCACTAGATAGCACAGTAAGCCCTACCCTACTCTCCAAGGTAGAACCACCACAACCCAGAGCGTCTCCAACCTGCTGCGTCCCTGCAGCTACTGTCTCTGGCAGGATGGGAGAGCTGGGGGAGGAAGGGAGGCTCGTCCAGGTGGAGAACGACAGCTCTTATTACTGAAGTGTGGAGGTGGTGACGAAGGAAGAAATACAGTTGAGAGAAAACAAGGCACAGAGCCAAGCAGAAACTGATGAGTTACCTTTCTGTGGGGGGTGGGGGGGTGGGAGATGGTAGGAAGCGCTCGGTTAGGGCATTAATTGTCTATTAACACAGAATGCGTTGATAAGAAGTGGGCTCAGAGGTGCATTTTGCACAACATCCAAGATGTTGCCCAGTGCAGAGATTACTTACCTCAACATTAGGGACCCAACGTTTGGCAGACTCTGCTGGAAAATAAGAACACAATCCATAAGCTGAACTAACGGAAGGTTTGGTGTATGATCGAGTCACATTAATCTATTCATCATGATGAAAATACATGAAACCCACTGTTTCTGTTCCAACCAGCGAATACAAAACTTCCTAAAGGAATGTTTCTGGGGGAAAACTCACAGTACATCAGATGGAAGCGTTTGACTACACAGTGAATTATTAGTTTGTCTATGGTATTTGCTGCTATACATTGTATTTTCAGTGTTCTTCAGTGGACCTTTTTAAATGATGACATTTAAAATCCATGTTTCTGTTGAGTACATTAACATTTAATCTAACCTGAAAAAAATCACTTTGGCACAAAATAGGAGTTGGTGCCAGGTAATGCCCATTGCATCTGGAGTGAGAACTACTCTAATCAAGTGTGGCACAGGTACATACTGAAGCACCTGGATTCTTTCAGGTCTGGAGCACCTACGTCAGTTTGTGGCTCCTTGTATGTAAGACATCCAGGCTTGAGAGACGGTGTAACCTACCAGTTTTCAGAGTCCAACTGTACAAACAAAACGCGAGCAAACCATCACCACTCACTAAGTTCACTAAATTCAACGTTGAAAATCAATGATCAAATGCCACAGAGCTACATTTAGTTTAAAACATACAAAGATACAAGTTATGAGAACTCTTAATGAGGCCTATCTTTTTACCTCAATCCCTCTGGAAGATGGCTACTTATCAAAAGTTTGAATGACACCATCAAGAATGTGTATGTACATGACCATGATTGGACATTTTCCAAACTGCTTCTATGATTAATATAATTTCTCCCAGTGTTAAAGTGAAGCCTTTTTCAGTACTAATTTTAAAAGAACATACTGAAATACGGTTATTTCCCCTTCTCCTCTTCCTGTTCTGTCGACTGCTCAGATAACCAAGATGAAAGAACTGGTTTTGATGCTTTTCCTATAAGTATGCAGTCTGTTCAGGGGAACGTTTCATAAAGCTGAAATCAGCAAGGCTCTGCTTCTAATAATACCGAAGAACGAATACAGTATCTTCCACCCTGAAGGCAAAAGAGAAACACGAGGAAGCTATCTGTGGTGAAGAGGATTCTAGCAAACTGCTGTTTCTAGGGGATTTGTAAAAAGTAAAATTGAGCTTTGCCAGTAAGTTACTGATAACGAAACAGTTCGTGGCTGCTTCTAAGGCCTTCCAGAATTTATAGGTTGGGATATGGGCATTCATAGGTTTAGAATAAAATGACATAAGAAATGTCATTTTCTTTGTACGGCTGGTTTTTGGTGATAACTCAGAGAATGCGACATCGCTTTAATACAATTCCTCCTAACACCCCTGTGAGGTGGGCATTTCTTAGACCCACTTTACAGTTCTAAAATCAGAGTACAAGACCAAGAGTTAGAAATCAAGATTTTTTTGGTCTTCTTATAAGGCAGATTGCAATGATCAGAACCAGGTTCTGACAATATGCTGATAAGGACAAGTACGCCTCTTTTTTTTTTTTCCCTCTCTCTCTCTCCGGAAAACAGCAGTATGTGGGATCTACTAAGCAGGGAAGAATTTTAAGCTGATCCAAGGTGAACCTGTTTGTTTAGTGTTCGCTTGATGTGTTGATGAAAATGCACCGCGCATTTCCAGTTTTACGAGTTTAGTGACCGTTCTGCAAGTCAACCATAAATCAGGCTACTGGACAAGAGCATAGCTCCATTTGGCAGGTGACGCAGTCCAGGCCAAGTTCAGTTGGTAAACTCCATCTAGACAGAGTGGATTTTCTTAGTGAGCAATTATATCTTTAAAAAAAAGATCTGGGGCACAGTGTTTTTCAAACTACTCTTTGAACGCATGGAAAATAAAACTGGGCTCAGCCCCCACCTCTGTACACTTTGTTGTCTGGAACCCAGCTTTGGGGATTTTTTTTAATGAAGTTAACATATTTTAACTTCTTAAAAAAGAGAATGTTATAAAGATTACAGAAGGGGCATCTGGGTTCCTAAGAATAAAAGGGACCTTGTGAGTAAGAATTAAAAGACAAGTAATTATTCTCTTTTAAACTGCCAACAACAGATATACTACTGCTTGAAATTAGTGTGGACTGGCAAGGCTATCTATCCGGCCACAGGCAAACTCTTAGCATTAGACTTTTTACATGGGACCTACTCCCCAACCAGTAGACCCCCCAGCCCCTCCCATTAGCCACATACCTCCAGTCCTCAGGGCTGGACAAGCAGGAAAACCCAAAGAGAAAAACCAGCAAAACGGTTATCTTAATGGGAACAATACAATTTGGGAAGTGGCTAGTGAGTTTGTCCTGAGTAGCTTAAAATACATGAAATCAGTGTTAGTCTTTGAGTACTTTAAACTTGAAGACTTCTTCACTGGACCTTTTTTAATGTATATTTTTTAGACACCCAAGGTTCTTTTAAAGTACTTTGAATTGCTATTTCATTGGTGACAGTGTCAGCTGCATTTGGAGTGATAAATACTACGTCATCAACTCTGGAAGATGCATAGGAGATGAAACCGTTGAGGGCAGGACGAATTTGAATACACACTTAAATGGTTTGGTACAAAAATGTTTGGAGTAAAGTTCTGATACATCCAACTACCTCAACACAACTGATCCTATATCCCCAGCCAGTGGGATTTATCAGTACACACCACTCTTGATCCAGAAGGCTCTGCCCACTTGTCTGAGGCAGGAACTCAACTAGTAGCATGCTGACCAATGCTTTTTCACATCACTTTGTAATTCACGGAAACTCGCTGTTTACCCAGGGGACCTTCAAGTCCCTGGAATGAGCCGGGTTGCTCTGGGGAATGTGCTCCTGCCTGGACACGGTGCTATTTGGGTGCCTCAGGAGCCAGCCCCAGAGGTGGGCTCAGGGTCAGCTGGGAGTCTTCGCTAAGAGTTTGCATAGTTGCTTGGACTTTAAGCCTCACAAACCACCAAATAGATTAAGATCGATGAGACTTGGAAGTTAGTGGTAGGGCAATGTACAAAAGATGAAGTTACTTTGAAGCCTTTCTCTTGTTAGTCTTGACTAGTTAGTGTCTGACATTTAAATAGTTCACAAGCCATTTAGAGTCATTCTTTGTGGTGGAGTTTGACCAGCTATTTCCCAGAAGCACACACAGAGAGAATCCATCATTTATTCCATCAAATTTAAATTTTCTGGTGTTTTAGCTCTGTAAGTTCCACCGTTATAAAGGGAGCTAAAGTTTATTCACAGAGGGAAACCTATAATCATAGGTTTTAAACACAGATCTGGAACAGTGAATGTATCCATTCTGCTGGTTTTATAGCCAGAAAAAAAGTGATCACTGTGCCCCTGAAAAATTACTTCTTCAAGCCACTTTTTGAAAATTTACATCTACCCAAGCCACCTTGAAAACCTCCTGACACTGAGGGCAGAATGATGGTTTGTATTTGACCAGTTTGCTCCTGAAACTCACATAAACCTCAAGTAGTAAAAATCACAGACTGCTTTAAGCTCATTAAGAAAACTCCAGACTAAGATCACAAGGCCGGGGTGTTAATCAGTATAGGTCTAGCTGGATCTTCCTCTCTGTGTACACATGTCCTGATTCAACTTTTGCGTGTCTCTGAATCTTTTTCTTTTAACCAAGATTTTTTGTTGTTAAAAATAAGCTATGCGTCGGACAGGGCAAGATATGACAAAATACCCATTTATAAACTATCAAGGGCTCATGCGGGAGGGGGGAGCGGGGAGGGAGGGGAAAAATGAGGACCTAATGTCGGGGGTTTAAATGGAGAGAAAATGTTTTGAGAAACGATGTACAAATGCGCTTTACACAATTGATGTGTGTATGGATTGGGATAACAGTTGTATGAGCCCCTAATAAAATGTTAAAAAAGAAAAAAAAAAATAAGGTATGCACAATGTTAGGATATTATATGGAATGTCAGAGAGCTAGTAAGTAAAAAATAATTTTAAAATTATGTATAACTTGGTATACATTATCACATATATGCATGCTTTAAAATAAACTGGCAATTTTTAAATTTTCTTTAGCTAGCAATTTCTTAATTGGCAGAAAATATTTTAAAATAATCATTTCTAGGGGTTTAGTCCATATGACTTGAGTAAAAAGTGGTAGTCTGCGGATAACATTTCATTTACTCCATATTCAATTTGGTTTTTACTGACTATAATCTGGAAGGGAGCCTTGGTGGGGTAGTGGGTCAGCAAGGTCAGCAGTTCAAAACCACCAGCTGCTCTGAGGGAAAGATGCGGCTTTACAATCTCGGAAGTCCACAGGGGCAGTTCTACTGTCTTATAGGGATGCTATGAGTCAGCATCGACTCAGTGGCAGTGGTTTTGATTTTTTTAATAATCTAGAATTACAAAGGAATCCTATAATTAATTGCTCTAGTTTTCATATGTCTACATTGATTTCTGATTTTTAATTTGTGATTTAATTTATAGCAAGTTCATAGCCCTAATGGAAAGTTATATTTCAATAGCCATGTATTAATATGCCATAATAAGACAATCTAGTATGTACAACCCTAAAACTATGGGTAAGTGGTAAAGAAAAGGAAAAAAGTTTAAAAAAAAACTTGAGAAAAATAATTTATGGAAAAAATGCCACGTTTTCCCCCAGAATTGGTAGAAAAATGTGGAAGCGGTTGCTATTCAACAAGGATCGTGTCCACATTTTCTTCTGTGAGCCCTGGATCTAAGGCACAGGCTGAGTCTGAGTGCTCTTGGGACAAGCGAGGGCTTTTCAGGGGGACACCGGGCCAGCTGTCACAATACGGCTGAAACCTCTGGGCCAGTGTGGTGCCGAACCTTTGGCATCGGCTGTACCGGTAAGATTTACCCTTGTGTGTGTACATGTGCTCCAGCAGTTGGCTTTTTCGGAGAAATTTATGACCACAGATGGTACAGCTGACTTTTCTTTTCCTTGAAAAAGAAAAGTTGCAGTTTAATTCCACTGGCTCTGTGTCTTTGGAGATCAGAGACACCTGGCTGATCTGCAAGGGCTCGGCGCCAGCGGCCCGCTCCGGGCGCTCAGGCTGCTGCTCCGTCTCCTTGACGAAGGAGCTGAGCCGGGAGCAGGCGGGGGCCTGGGTGCCCTCGCCCAGAGGAGGAACTTCACCTAGGTCGTTGCTCTCCAGGATGGAGGCGGGGACGCCGAAGGGGAGGGATCCAGACACGTGTGTGTGGAGGTGCTGCCTCAGGCTGTTCCGGGAATCAAACCGTTCCCCACAGTAATGGCATAAGTGGATTTTGAGGCTGTTTTCAGTGAAAGTGGGGCCTGTCGCCGCTGAAGAGGGTGAGGGGTGGCTCTGGGAGATGACGGATTCTGGGTCACATCTCTCCTGCTTGATGGACCCGGGAGGCTTCGGGTGCTCCTGCAAGGCCTGGGCTGCAGGGTGGGCCCTCTGCTGGTCTGCGGTGCCATCATCCAGCCCAATAGCCAAGGAGAGCTGCAGGTGGGGGTGGTCGCTCTGGGCCGCAGCCCTGTCCCCGCTGTTACTGGAAGGGGCTTCCTTGGCCTCCAGCCCCTGTTTGACAGCTGCTTTCTGGGTGGTGGAGATCTGAATGCCATACAGGTTTGAGGGCTGTACCGGCTCCGGTGAGAACACCTGATTCATCTCTGTCGCAATGTGAGAAAGGTAGTCAGCGTGAAGAAACCGGATCCCTTCCTCCAAACGACTGTGATCAACAATCTGTTTGGGCCCCTTCCCAGTGTACATAATGTGCAACAAGTAGCTGAATATGTCCGGCTGGATGTCCGCTGGCTGTATTTTTATGCATTCGCTGTTAGAAACAAAAACAGACCCACAAAACGAAACACGATCTGGTTAGCTTTCTGGTTCACTCACCAAGCCTAGAGCAAATTCTCCCCATGCTCAGACTGGCAGTGGGCTTACACTTTTATTTTATGCCACTTTTATGGCCCAGAGACAGCTTTTTTTTTTTTTGGCCATCTATGGTTAGGAACCTAATAGAAAGTTAGGAAACATGAATATGCTGATTAGCTTGATATTGATCAAGTGCCTGCCAAGTGACCGTGACTGTAAGCCAAACAACCAAGCTCCCTGTCATCGAGTGGATCCTGCGGCATGTCAACCCCGTAGGGCAGGGCAGAACTACTCCTGTGATTTCACTCAGACTCTAACTGTTTACAGGAGTGGAAAGCCTTGTCTTTCTCTCGAGGAGTCTGGTGGTTTCGAACTGCTTATCTCATGGTTAGCAGCAACTCATAACCACTCCGCCACGAGGCCTTCTCACACGAGGTGCAGGACGGTGGAGAAAGGAGTGAAATAGGAGACTTGCTTTTAAAGAAACTGGTCAGATTTCAAATTTAAACTCTTCATGTTGTTTTAAATTAGCAATACTTTGAATGTAAAAATTATGTTCTTTTGGCTTCTAAAATACCATGATGTTTTTTTTAATAAATGCTTACTGTTTTTGTCATTTTAATGTTCTTTAAATCACAAAACCAATGCAGCAGAGACTTTGAAAACTTCTAAAATAACCCAATCCCTATCAAGAGCTCTGAAAGACGAGGGTGGCAGCAGGCAGTCTAAGGAGGGAGAGCCACACTGTGGACAGTGAGGTGGCTGGTGGACTTACCCTCCGGGAAGCGGCAGTCTATGGAGCAGGGCATCCACCAGCCCTCGCGTCCCACGTGGTGGCCTTCCACTCCATTTATTGGTTTTAGCTGAGTTCATGCTCGAGGGCCCGCCCACTCACGTGGGGCGTGGCCGGGCTCAGCTCATTACATCAGTACAGAGCTCTCTACTGAGGTCTTTCAGTGGCTTGACAGAGAACTCACATAGCAGGCCGGCCACCTTGGCGTCTCCTGGATGAAATTCAGCATCCTGGCATGCCTGGCATGCAGCAGGCACTCTGAGGGCTGATCAGCAGGTAGTACCTCTCAGAAGGTGATAGTCGTGTACACTGAGTCTGAGAGGAAACTTCTTGGCAGGGCAGAAGAGGCTGCCCATGACCAGCTGCCCCCACCCTGTACTCTTCTCTCCTCTGTGTCAAGCCTTCCCATCATGCCGGCCCATTGGTTTTCTGGCCTGGTTCCTAGCTCTCTAGTTTGCATGCATGCTCCCCCTCTCTGCTATGTAAGGAGCCCCTGAGGGGCAGAGTGGGTTAAGTGCCTGGCAGCTATCCAAAAGGTCATTGGTGGGAACCAACCAATGCTCTGCTGGAGGAAGATGAGACAGTGGACTTCCATCAACATGTACAGCCTTCAAAAGGCTATGGAGCAGTTCTGTCCTGCAGGGGCTCTGGGTGGAATCAACCCGATGGCTTGGTTCCTTGCTGCGCTCCCTCTTGCGCCCCTCTACAGCACCTGGATGCCTCCTCCAGATCCTTCCTGTTCTCTAATTGGGGCTGCGAACACCTAGTCCATGCTATACACACTTCTGTGTGGGACTTATTACTCGCACTTAAATTTAATAACCCACTTAAATCTTCACAATGCTCACTGTAGCGATCAGGGAACGGAGGCACAGAAAACACGGCAGCATTGCAATTACTTGTTTTATATGCATCACTTCTGGACTCACTGACGACCTTCTTACAGGCAGGACACATACTGTACTTCTTACTGGGAGCCAGCACACTGTGCAGTGCTGCAAACACCCAAACCCCAAACGCACTGCCACTGAATAGACTGACTCCTCCTGGCTGTACAGGTCAGAGGTGAGCAGCTCTGTAGAGCTCCCAGGGCTGAAATCTTTACTGAAGCCGACTGCTTCATCTACCCCGACTTTAAGAACAAACCCTTTGAGGGAATTTTTGAAACAGAGCGACCTTTGACCTCTGCTATAGAATGTAGGGTGGCTAACAGTGAAGCCTACTACAGACTGGGGGTAGAAGGGAGAGCACAGCCCTTGCGGCGGACAGCTCCTCATTGGAGGCCAACCTGTTAGTCAGACAAGCCTGGATGGGCAAGCGACTTCCCTCGCCAGTTTCTTTTCCTCTACAGCACTGGGGATGGTAGCATTTACACTGAAGAGTACGAATTCACTACTCGGGGCTTGGGTGTAGGCCTTTAGTCCAGTTGGACTATTATTTTTATCACTCTTAGCTCTCCCGGTGAATCCTATACACCAAGGTGTTTAATTATAGATGTGCCCCCCAAATTGTAATTTTAAAAATCAAGGTGGCCCCTAACAACCACCACCACCACCTCCCAAGGGATGTTATTCTTCTGACTTACCCGTTCTTACCTTGTTTGGTGGATGAAAATCATCTTGAAATAGTTAGAAAAAGCAGCAAGCACGGCTCGATGGGCTTTGAAGTAAACATCTCCAATAGCAACCGTGCAATCACACAGAAAGCCGAATTCCCGCTGCATGTTCAGCTGCTGCAGGAGGACAAGGCTATGGCTCTTGGTGTCCATTGTCGCTCTGTGAAAAAGGACAACATAGCAGAGGCTTTTTGATTTTGCTTTCTACCTGGCTGCACTTTACATAAATCTCCAACCAAGCACAAGCCAAACCCACTGCTGTCGAGTTGATTCTGACTCTTAGGGATCCAAAAAGGGTTTCTGAGACTATAACTCTCTATGGGAGGAGACAGCCTCATCTTGCTTAGGAGGCGGGGCTGGTGGGTTTGAACTGCTAACCTTGTGGTTAGCAGCCTTCTAATGCTGGACCTACAATGTAACCAGGGCTCCTTAGAAAGTAGCAAGAAGACCCAAATTTAAGTGCAATTATACAGCCCAACCAAGAAAACCATTTTTTTCTTGGTGTCTTAGATTTTAGGTCTATTTCAGGCACTGATTCAGAAAACTGCATTGGCTAGACTGCACCAGCTCTACTTTCTTAGATTTGGCATTCCACGGTATTTTTAGCTATTAGGTTATACTAATTTTTTAATTTATCATCATAATATTAAATATGAGAATTCACACCCCTGAATTACAGGATACGACAAAAAGAAGATGAGAACTATTTGAAGAAGAACTAGGTATTTCCTAGGGAAGCTGTCTGGGGGCCTACAGTGACTAGCTGGTTACAGTGGTTTGGAACCACCAGTCACTGCAGCCTTTATAAAATGTAAAGGTTGGAAACCCAAAGTAATAGCTCGTCTCTGTCCCACACGCGCACTAGGAGTTAGAATTGATTCGGTGGCTGCAGGTCTCTTTCTGGTATGAGAAGCCGTGTAGCTGTAAGTCTAATTAAAGAGAAACTTGAAAAGGCACATGTAGCATCAAAAAATGGAAACGTTCATAGTAACTTTCATAAATATTTTGAAAATATAAATGTGTCAAGTTTCAGAACACATTTTAATATGTAGAAGTCAATGGATAATTCCCTCTTTCTCTTGCAGGGCGGCTGGTGGGCTCGAAGAGCTGACCATGTGGCTAGTAGTCAAACACATAACCCACTGTGCCACCAGGGCTCCTTATTTATTGTACAGTAGCTCTTATTTCTGGCCCCTTTTTAAGATAACAAATTGGAACTACCTGCTATTCAGCTGCTCATAAAGGTGAAGTGATACCAGGGGAAAATTCCAAGTTACTGTACTTTGTACTGTCCAAATACATCTTTGGATCAAGGGACACCATGTGAAGTATAACTTGACCTAAATGTTTAGTACAAGTCACACTACCTTAAAATAAAGCCAGTGTGCACTTCCGCTACCTCAGGGTAGCTGATCTGTGAAGATAACCCTGCTGTTTTCAGGGGCAAGCAAAGAGTGGCATATGGCCTATCTCCTGCATCTCAAAAACTAGAACGATCAGGGAAAACTGGTGCCATTTTGTGTTGTTATTTTTTTAATCAGCATGTCAACTATACCCAGAAACAAATCTAATATTTGAGGGATGAAAATGTGTGTTGGCCAATGTTACTCAATGTGTTTCTATACTGTTTTTTTCATCCCAAACCCAGTCTATGTCAAATGCCCCTTACCACACTTCATATAAATTCCACAGGCCATGAACTATGACCTCTCTTCACCTGGTGAGTGGGAGCGGTAGAAATCACAGGAACAAAAGGCAGGCTTGTCCTCTGCTAGCTATGTGGCTGCGTGTTTGCCATCGGTTTCCTCACTGGGGGCTCTTGGCATTACAACGCGATTACTATTGTCAAGAGCACATTGTACTGTTCAAATGTTAGACACAGTCCTGCCAGGGGCAGAGCTGTCATTACTCCCCTGGGAGCCTGGGAGCTCAGGGGACACAGGCCTCTCAACACTCACGGACGGTTTGGGGAACTTACCAGTCACAGTAACTTCAGGAGCCTTTCCAACAGAGGCAAGATACCCACCCTGGTTTATGACTCCTGGGTCCCCTGGTCCTGGGTCTCCTAGGGGAAGAACTTGAACCCAGATCTTAAGTGGACTGAGACATAGAAACACGGAGGTTCCCAAAGGAAGCCGAATGCAAGATGGAGCAACTGGGTTTTGGTGGGTTCTGGCAGTGGCCCAGCATGCGCAGCAAGGCCTGAACATTTGAGAGTGGTGCAGCTCTAGGCAAGTAAAGGCGGTGCTGTGGCACCCGCTGAGCACAGAGCCCTGTCGCTGAGAGGTGAAAGGGACTGTGGGGTAAACGGCCTCGCTGGGTGGCTGGAGAACCTCCTCTGAAAGAACAGATCCTGAGAAGAGATCAAAGCTTCCTTATTTGTCAGAGAGTCAAGGGAGGTCAGCTGTGGGGTGTGGGGTCAGCTGTCTGGAGATGGGCAGCAGCTTGGGCACCAGACAGCTGAGTGCTCAATCACATAATAGCAATCACTAATACCACAATGGGGCTTTCTCAGTCAAGGAGCCCAGGGGGCAGAGTGCTGAAGCCAGTGGCTGCTAACTAGGAAGGTCGTGGGTTCGAGTCCCCCAGGAGTACATGTGGCTGCTTCCATAAAGATTACCGTGTTGGAAGCCGTGTGGGGCAGAAGCAACTTGACGGCAATGGGTTTGGTTTGGGAGGTGCCAGGCACCACACTGCTCACGCCTTTCGCTCTCGGTACAACTTAATAAGAAAGCAGGTGTTATGGATGAATGTATGGATTGTGACCAGAGATCTAAGAGACCCCAATAAAAGTATTTAATAAAATAATAAATTAAAAAAAGAAGGCGAGTGTTAAATGCCTTTACAGATGAAACTCAATCAGCACAGTCAAGTCATTTATTTATCACAGGCCACACTGCAGGGCGAGGGATTTAAGCCCACCCACTCAGGCTCCAGAGCCACATTTCCTCCCTCCCCCTCTCGGAGGGGATGTGCCCTTACACCCATAAACTGGACGGGCCTACAGGGCAGTCAGGTTATAGAGCGAGGCACCTCTGGGAAACCTCCGGACTATCTGGAAAGACAGTGGAGGAGAAAGCTGAGCTTTCTGGCTGGCTAAGCAAATGTGTGATGGCAAAGCATTTATGGGGATTCATAGGTGAAGTCTGGAATACCTGGCAAAGATAACAGCATCACGAATACAATGTTGAATCTGCTTTTATTAGAACTACATACTTAAAATGCCAGTTGTTCCTAATCTCCAAGATACGGTCTTAAAAGAAAAAAAAGTGTAAAATTGAATAGAGAATAAGACTATTATTTATGTAAAAGGAGATTTTTTTGTTTGTTTTTAAGGTGAGGGAGGAACTTATAAAATATTATTTATGTATACACCTCTGGAAAGATTCATAGGAACCAGTATAATTTCCTTCTGGGAGAACAAGGGGCTAGAGCCACAAGAGTGGGTAGGGAACCATACGGTTTGAACTTTTCAAAAGCCTTTTTATTGAAGTTTAATATCATAAAGGTATATATCCTCCCTTCCTTCTTCATTTGTTAAAACTATACAGTATTTCAGATAGACAAACAGGTAGAGAGAGCCATGTAACAAGCATCCACCCACCCACTACTCAGCACAGAAGAAAAATATTACTAACAGGGGAGGCCTCTTGGCCCATCCACCTGGCTGCAAAGACAACCACCATCCTGAGTTTGGCTTTATGATTTCCTTGCAAGCATCTTCTTTCGCAGGTGCTTATCTCCCCGAGTCAGAGTACCACTCTGCTCGTCTGCCCAATTCATAGAACCAGGATTATCCTTTAGGTAGCTTGCAACTTGCTTCAAAACAAAACAAAAAACTCGGACTTCAGAACCCATTAAAAACAAAAAAGCTTCCCTATTCCTCCCCCAATTAAAACAAAACTCTTAACCTTACCATCTCACTTGAGAAGCTTTTAAGCAGCATTGAAAGAAGAAACAACGAGAACAGAATCTACAGAGAATCTATCCTATGATCTAAGGATACGCACAAAAATCCAAACTGTAGCTGTTGTTTCAAAAGGCCATTTAACCCAGAGAATCACTACTTATCAGATTTATACCATTTTCCTCTGGCTTTAAGATCTTCAATTTACAGGCCGATTAAAACAAACAAACAAACACAAAAACTCTGTCAGAAATATTCACATATAAAAATGTATGTTTAAGAATCAATGCTGAAATTAAAGTCTTTAATTAGCTTTAGAAATTGTTTGACCCTCCTCCCTGGGAGACGGACAACAGAAAAGTGGTGAAGGGAGACATCAGACAGTGTAACACATGACAAAATAATAATTTATAAAATATCAAGGGTTCACGAGGGAGGGGGGAGGAGTGGAGGGGGAAAATGAGGCACTGATACCAAGGGCTCAAGTAGAAAGCAAATGTTTTGAGAATGATGAGGGCAACAAATGTACAAATGTGCTTGACACAATGGATGCATGTATGGATTGTGATAAGAGTTGTCGGAGCCCCCAATAAAGTGATAAAAAACAGATCAAAAACATTGCCAGCAGTTCTTCCTATCTCCAGTAACGCACTCGCATGACAAGCCCTTGAATCGTACGGACTTGAGAAACAGGCTAAATAAGTTGTCCATTCAACAATCTCGTGGTTAATGGTCTACGAGTTACGCTGATTCCTCATTTATTTAATAACCACTTGAAGAGACATTTCATAAAGAACACCCAGTATTTGAAAGCATGCACTGTACCAGGTACAAGGATAGACAAAAGAGCAGCAGCAGCAGCCGCCACAGACCCTGCACTCAAGATCACAGGCGCAGAGGGAGATAAAACACAGTATGATATGCAGTAGAACTCGGTGGAGGCCAAGCTGTAAAAGCAGTTCAGGGAACGTACTTGCGGGGGACATAAATGACAGGTGGCCCACGGGGAAGAAGGCATCTGCAGTGACTGAGATGGAGAGGGAGAAGATGAACATAGCTCTCAGGCAGAAAAACAAACAAACCCAGAACGAGCTGCAAAAGCACAGGGAGGGGTGTGGCTACCGCGGTCACCCAAGCATTGTTTGGCATGGAAGAAAACACAGGCTGGGGTCAGCTTTGTGCTGGACGACAATGAGCTTCGTTCTGTTGCACAGTCACTATGAATCAGAGCCAACTGGACCACACCTGAAAACAAGGCCCCCCTCAAGCAACAGTATGTGCTCTTAGTCTTCCTCCTGTCTCCTCCTGTGTTTTACACAGGTTTCTTCTTAGCTTTTGCCATCCTGATTTCACTCTCTTGCTGACTTGTGTCACTTTCACTCCAGGCTTTCCCTCTAGGACACTAGGCCTGGATATTGCTTCTGCTGATCGCTAAACACTTCTTGATAAATGTTGCCCAGAGCTGCTTGTTTTCAGGTGTGGTCCAGTTGGCTCTGATTCACAGTGACTGTGCAACAGAACGAAGCACTGCCCAGTGCTGTACCGCCATCACAGTTGTTGCAGTGAACTTGAACTTAACACTCCCAAGTACCTTCCCTGCAGTGAGCAGCACCTGCTCAAGCCTTTTCTTCTTGACAGTGGTCGTCCTCTGTGAAGCGCTCCACACACATGTAGCTCGGTGAAGGGATCTGAAGAGATTGGAGCAATTTGCCTGCTCTTCATACACTGCAAAGCCTCCTGGCAGTTTAAACAGGTCTTCCCCTCAGGTTTATAGTTCTTTTCTATTGGAAAATCGTCCAGAGAGGAACTACTTTTTTTATCAGTCATTAATCTTTTTATCAGTAGTTCTGAAAAGTTTTAGTCTCAAGATTCATTTACACAAACAAACATTGTACAGAGCTATTGTTTGAGTTATAGCTATTGATATTTATCACTAAAATTTTAATATTCACTTAATAAGCCCGTCATATATCAACATAAATAACACACCCCCCATTAGGTAAATGTTAAATAAACAAAGACAAGCATGGCATTGATTTACCTTTTTTTTTCAGTAAGGCAGCTGGCTTCAAAATAGGCAGCTGGGTGCCATTATCTATTTCTGCTGTCAGTATTGCCATAAATGGCTCTGGTTAAAGTACAGGTATGCACTGCTTAACTTCATGATCCGATCTGTGAAACAGTACTCGGTGTGACTTGGTCATTATGGAAACACCGCTGTCTATGGGCCCTGGCCCTGCTCCAATGTGGGATGCCTATGGTGGAACTTGGCTGGGTCTTGCCCAACTGTTAGGAAAGGGACAGTGAGGGCCAAGGAGGCCAACGCCAGAGTGTATGCCTTTCCAACAGCGCCCTATGGGACCACACTAGGGTTGGGAGCTCGTGCCCGGGCCTCCATTGCCACAGACTAAAAAGGCACACGCAGCAGCCGGGTAGATCGCAAGAAGAGCGTCTGGTGTCCTGGCACTGAGATAGCTGAGGGATTCGGGCCACAGATGTCCACACGCTGCCCCAAGGAGGTTAAGCAACAAACACATGCGTGTCTAATATCTCGTAGAACCAATGAAAGTATTTCGGGACTCTCCAATCCCTTCAACCACACGTGGGAACCACTGCCCTCCATGACCTTATGTAGTTGAGGAGGTATTAGGAGGGCCACTTTGTGACTTGATCTCATTTTTGACCCACTTTAAAATGGTTTGTTTTTATTATTCTCTACTTTCTTTTTGATTGAGGTTTTTGTTTTTGTCTAATCATTGTTCATTTTTTTGGTTTGCTTCTTGTCTTATATGATCTTCTATATATGAAATCCAGGATAGGTAGATCTATAGAAACAGTAACTCAGTGGTTCTCAACCTTTCTAATGCTGCGACCCTTTAATACAGT